CAGCAAAACGGAGACGCCTGGATCAAGGATCTACGAAATATTGCCGGGATCCGGATTAGAGGCCCGAATCGGATTTGCCCATCGAAAGAGAGAAGGTAGGAGTAAATAGCAGTTGTAATTAGGCCAGATTAGATTTTGACACAAAAGAGCACAGATTTTGCCGAGTGTAATTTAAACAAGTGAGAAGTTCTCATAGGGCGGGAGTTTGATAAGAGGGTAAAGAGTAGATTGATAAGCCATAACAGAAAGATGAGTAATAGTGTAATTGTTTTGGGCACAACGTTTGTCGAGAGATTGACTTCACTTGTCCCTTTGACGAGTTCGTAGCTTGGTGCGGAGAATGGTAAAACTCCCTGATGACGCCTACTATGATGCCGGCGAAACGTTTGAGAATGTACCAAGTCCACTGTCTAATGCTGGGAATTATGATAACTACTATGGCAGAGGACTTCGGACTAGTTGTGTTCTACTAAGCCGCCCTGACAACAAGACCAAGTTGCGATGACGAGATCAACCCACTTCTCTAAATTGAAAGGCGACTGCGACAATATCGGAGTCCACACCATCTTGGCCTTCATTTCTGAGTACATAAATGTTGGCTGAGACTGTACCACTTGTTGACCATTTATCTGAGAAACGAAATATCGTTTGAGGCTTTTTGTGCGGCCTGGAAAATTCGCTGTTAATGAGTTCCCAAGCTGTTAAAGCTGAAGTGCGTCCGAGACTTAACGTGTGATGCCGATTCTACACATTTTGAGAGGATGGGTCTGTCCGAATCATCAATGCCCCTTGGCTTAGGCTTGATTCACCACGATCGAGTGCTAGCGTCGGACAGGAGCCGTATTAAATTTCCTTTGCAGATGATGGACTACTAAGACTTAGATTTAACTTGGCTCTTGATGGGAGCTAATTAAAGTTGAGGCTGGGTTTCGAGGAGAAGAAAGTGTTTAGCTTGAAAATTAAGTAACAATGAAAAAAGTAATCACCAAGCTTTGTTTCTGAGACTTGGCTCGAGTAGGTTTCTTGTTCATTTTCCTGCCAGCACGAGTCCTGTAGGCGAAGAAACTCACTAACCTGATGGCATTGTTTGCTCTAATTGATTTCACCGTTGTAATGCCTTCAGTTTCTGTGTTAATGGACACAAATAATAATGACTAGGATCTGTTTGGGGGTAGTACAAGTCAAGTCTGGCAATGGAAATAAACAAATGTATTTTTATCGATAATAAAAACGGACCAAATGAGTTTGATGTCGTTACATGAAGTGAATTTTGTTCCATTGTTGAATGTGCCTCCGTGGAGGCTGAGGCTTAGGCATTCGGTTTTATTTCATAGTTTACACCGAATAGCTGCCCCTTTTCTTGAAAAGTCAAACAGGTCATAAATGGGTGTGGCTAAAATTGCCCGTTACCGAGCCAATTTTTGTTCCAACGGTTGTGGCAAGAGGGATTAATGCCTCGTTAAGTTATGTTGGTGCCTGCATAAACTGCGCTGGAACGAAATACAGATTGTGCCAAAATCGTAATGGTGTCTCCAAGATCTGACTTTCAGATGGCACGATATAAGAATTTGCAATCATTTTCACAGCAGGAGTCAATCTGGTACTTTTCGGTTCACTCGGAATTATTACCTCTCTAATGCTACTTGATACACTATCTAATTTGATAGCAGCTATGACGATCAAGAGTATACGCTCATTGGTTCAGTCGGAGTCTCCTGTGTATAAATGGTTTGACCTTGTTTTCGCTACATCAGGGAGATTTTGATAATCTTTATACTGCATGTGTGTGCGTCCTCTGCCAGTGCTGTTTTGTAGTGTTTCAGTATTGGTTTATTGCCTGTAGTGAGACGAAAAAACGTGAAAATATAGCAGCAAAGACTATGTAAATTCATTAATTGAACCATTGAATAGATCAAATTAAAACACCTTTCGAGGTCTTCATAATAGCAAGACTAAGTTGTCGAAATGAGGGCAATCCAACTCATATTTTTTATATACCACAACCACATTGGCAGCCCTCTATGAATGCGACACTTCCTGTGAATCGCCAAGGAAAGATTTCCGCATGGGGCTGTTAAATGGATGAGACACGCGAATCTGTAGAGGTCAAACAGTGATTTGGGTGTGATTGTTCCGGGCAGGAATTGCATTCTTTGGCCTAGAGCACATCAATACCTAACAAGTAAATAGGGGGCTGGTAGGTCTGAATGTTTTATTGTTCATGAAGGTGGTCGTCATTCGTTCGATTGAATCGGCCTCTGGTTGATGACCGAATTGGGTCGAGATGAGTTTTGCCAGTTTGACAAACGTCTCTAGGTGCTCGTCAGCAGTGCTTTGCTTGCATGTGGCCACTGAGTCACTGTAGAGCAACTCACTCTTGCAATACTGTCTTCGCTGCTCTTGAGTTGTGCTTTTCCAGGAGCACTCCAAACTACAATCCTCTTACTCTAATATAATTATAACTATATTATCATTCATCATATTTAATATACCCCTCATCCCCCTCCATATACCCGAATTGACTTATTACCTCATCTGGCTCATCTTTACCGTCATTGACATTATTTTCATACTCATTGCATGGTGCCGCCACGAGCTCGGCTATGTGGCACGCTTTCATGATTGTAAATCATAACACATCAATCCATCTATTGTCATTTACCCTATTTTCTTACATCTATCAACTCATATGCTTATTTGACATAAATATCCCACATCTCGCCCTGATCACGTATAATACATACATCTACTCGCCCCATCTCTCATTCTGCACATAATCCTATTTTTTGCACTCCACCCAATCTCTTGGTCTTGTCGTCCAGGCAACTTCAGGATCGCTACTTACAGCTGATGCACAAACTGGACAAAGAGCTACGTGAGCGAAAACGCGCAGTAATGGACTGCGACCAGCTGCGCTACAAGCTGTTCGACATGCAGCGCCGTCTTGACGAGCAAGTCTACTTGCTCGAAAATGCTCGTCTCTTGAACTCTGGTGAGGCGGGCGCCGTCTGTGGACCAGGGCTTCCTGGTAGATCGGAAGAGGAGGAATTATCACAACCCGGCCCAGGCACCATCAGCAAGTGAGTTAGATGAAGGCTTCTTCTAAATAGTCACCCTTATGTTGGTGAGACATGCAGGCCCATTCGACAAAGACTGAGGGAACACAAAAATGTTTGTAGAGGGAGATGGTTCCAAAGGTCAGAAGTGGCCGGACACATGGCAGAGACTGGACATGAGATCGAATGCTGACAAACTATTAGGTTTGCTGATTATGGTACGTCTGCTATTAAAAGTAAGATAAGAGAGCCTATTGAAATTAATATATTAAGGAAAACGTTGAATGCGAGGAAGGCTGGTAGAAAGTTGAGCAAAAATTACTTATGCTTGACTGATAGATTGAAAGAGTGAGAAGGTCTTGAGCCGACATCCAAAGGAAGGCGACTCAACTTTTCTGCTCAGTGATGGTTATAACTTCACTCACACTCGTCCAACATGTTAAATTAAGCTCATCAACCAAACCAGACATACGAGTTTACCCTTTCCTTGGGTAGTCAAACTTTTATGACTCTAAATTAAAAGGTTAAGATAGGTGGTTTCGTAACCTGACTTACATGCTTACAATCTTACATCTATAAGATGTATTCACCCAATTTCGTTTAAGGTGATGAAGGACTGGTAGAAGTAGAATTTTCCCACAATTGATATGAGTTGAGCTGACGTTTCCATTGAATTTTTACATAGCTTTGCTCCCGCTGAGAGTGTTGATAAGACCAATGCGAGGTCGAAACTGCAGTCCACCCTGGATTAGAACAACTTTTGGGAAAGAAAAGCTATGTAAAAATTCAATGGGAACGTTAGCTCAACTCATATCATTTGTGGGAAAATTCTACTTCTACCAGTTATTCATCACCTTAAACGAAATTGGGTGAATACATCTTATAACTGATTTACTGGTAGTCACGAAAAACAATACCCTTAAACGAAATTGGGTGAATACATCTTATAACTGATTTACTGGTAGTCACGAAAAACAATACTTAATTCAAACAATAATCTTACATTTCTTTATCTAAACCATATTTGCTTACCATCTTGCACAGTCTCGGCCAGGGCTTTTTCTTTATTCGTTAAACCTTGATGACCAGAGCCTGACATTAGTCTTCTTATCACTCTGATTTAGGGCCAGTATCGCACAGACACACACACATACCCACACTTGAGTTAAAGTAGCAGGAGCAGCATGAAGGCTAGTTAGCCAAACCATCCTATATCTATATATGCCTATTCATTTTCGTTTTTGGTAATGAGTATATCCAGGTAGGATGGAGCCGGATAGTCTTCATGACCCAGCGTTAACATGATACGTTTACAGGAATGAATTCCACCTCTGATGATGTCCATCGTATGATGGACGAAAGCTCAGCCCATTTTCACCCGAAGCGATGGAGAATGTATCATGGACTGCGTCTGCCTGAACGTTTTAGTAAAGACAAGCGACTGCAGTATAACGGGACTCAGCTGTCGTCTTCTATTGAGATCAACCTACCAATCTTTTCTTGAAGGATCATGCCTATTGTGGTTTATCGTGAGACAACTTTTATTTCGAAGGCAATACTGCTCTGCAAGATTTCATAAAATGGTCCTACCAGAAACACAAGGAGGCGTCTTCCTTGGAATAAAGACTGTTGAAAGGACTTTTGGCGGGATTATATGATTAAGTCCTCGGCTCATCGTCCCGTGAACCTGACGAACTCGTGCTAAGCTTTCGTCTATCCCATCATGGTAGAGCGAGAAACCAGCATTTACAAAAAAACGCACCAAATACAAAAAAAGTGAGGACAGAGAGCATATTAGGCAAAAATCGGCAAGGCACATAGAGTCAAAGTTGGAGTGCCTTTAGTTTATTTTAAGATACTAATGGAAGGGATTCATAAACAGGCCTCAACTGAATTCGAGCAGGGTAGCCTTGGAGCTGTGACTTAAGTTTGTGAAAATAAGTCCTCGGCTCACCGTCCCGCGACC